TGAATCAACTAATCAATCAGTTATAGGCTCTAAACTAAGCTTGAAAACATCCACGATTATTTTAAAATGTCTTTTGAGAGCCATTGGATGAATCAGAATGATGTTGCAAAAGAAGTCTGTTTGGATTGGTCAAGGGACTTGGTCATGTCCTGTGGGATTTATATGGAACCAGAAGACTAGTTTGCCACTGGAGATTCAAGAGTCTGGAAACCTAGAATGGGAACTTTCCAGTCAAGCCTCTGAGAAGAAATTTCTTGGGGTGAGGAGAGCACCTCGACCTCAATCTTCTCCTTTCCCCACTCTTGACTGGAAGAGGATGTGGTGAACTTTGGAGAACCAGAGGATTTGAACTTTCCATTGCCATCCAGTCTCCTGGGCAGCAGTGGCTGATGTCAGTGTCTGCATCTGGAGCCAAGGATAGACTGGATGTGATAAGGAAAGGAAGATTCAAGGCTTTACAAGAAGCCCAGTAGAGAAGCTACACTATATCTAAGGGGAACATCTAAGCACTCTAGCAAAAGGTTTTCCAGGAATTGTGAGTTACCTCTTTGCCTTTTGTACTCTCTAAGCTTGAGCCCACTTTACCCTGGACTCTATACATTGGAAGGAGGGTGTGTCACAGACTTTGGGGGGAGATTTTTTTCTACTAACTGCCACTAGTAATAAATACCATATTCTTAAGAAGCTAATAAAGTTTGACTGACTGATATCTACTCAGACTTATGGGAGGCTGCACACTAGTGGGAGCTCATGAGCTATACCACTAGAAAAGACTAACCCTACCCCACCCACAATCCCTCAGGGCTACCTTTAGAATCCCTAGGGGAATATGGGAATAGCCCTCTAACTTGAAACTCAGTCTACTAGTGCAAATAGAGTTTTTGAAGAGTAGCCTTAACATGCTTTGACAAAGCTACATTGAATTATTTTTAATTGAGTATACTCTTTTCTCCTCTCCCAATTGGTGAGTTGGCCTGTTTTGCTTGAATCAGAAAATGCTCCCAGATGTATGCAACTTGAGAAAAATCCTGGCTACTCTGCCTGATAACCTGAGCCAGAAAGATTTCCTCCTCTACTAATCAGCAAAGAACCCACATATGGTTCTCCTAATTCAGTAACTTTTTATTTTTGAAAGTTAGAGTTTTATTGATTTCTTTTTATGTCATTTTTAGATGTTCTTTCCCCACTATCTTCCCTCCCCCTCCCCTACTCTTTAGCCCAACAAATCTGGTAAGCTTTCCCTTGAAACAGAAGAAAAACAGTTAAGCCAAACTAATTAACACCAGGACTATGTCTGACAGCTTATGTGACTTTCTGTGCCTACAGACTCACATCTTCCCAAGGAAAAGAGGGAGGATTCAGCTAAATTTTCTGTTATAGTTTTATCCTCCCTCACTTAAGACCATGCTTGGGACATAGTAATAAATAGTATGGGACATAGTAATAAATGCTTTCCCCTTCCCTTCACTTCCCTCTCTCCTTCTCTCTTCCCCTTCCTTCCTTCCTTCCTTCCTTCCTTCCTTCCTTCCTTCCTTCCTTCCTTCCTTCCTTCCTTCCTTCCTCCCTCCCTCCTTTCCTTCCTTCCCTTTTCCTTCCCTCCTTCATTGAGGCCAATGTTCCATTTCCATCTATGACTAGACCCCCAAGCTCAAAGAATGTCTGCCCTGGAAGGAATCTCACCTAGTCTGATGCGGCCCAGAGAAAAAAGCTCTTTGCTCAGAGCTGTAACAAGAGTTCAGGATTCCTTACCTCCAGTCCATCACTCTTTGCACCACAAGATAAGGATGGGAAAGAATTCAATTCCATTTATGGAAAATCAAGCAGCATTTATTTCTTGGCACTTCTCAGCTGACCACCTGCTGGGACTTGTTTACTAGTCAATAACTTCAAGGGAAATATGCCCCCAAAAATGACATAAGTGAACAAGTCCTGCAGAAGGAGAAAAAAAAATGAAGTGATTCAAGCTGCAACCACGAGCTGAAACCTGTTTGGCCCCTCCGTATTTCTCCTCTTTGCTTCCAATAAAGGTGAATGTAGAGTGGTGGAAATGGTAGGGTTCTTGTCAGAGAAAGTCAGGCTAGTTTCCTTAGCTATACCATTTGAAATCTACCATCATAAGATCCAGGTAGCCTTACTCAAAGAACATCTATCTCTCTTCTATGGCTACAGTTTCCCTTTTCAGATCAGCTCTACCTCCACTAACCTGGCTAAGTTATCCTGCAAATGGTGCCCCGGTTACAAGAGAAGCGGATGGAGGCAGCCAGGTGGTATAATAGATAAAATGATGGTCTTAGAATCAGTAACATATGAGTTCAAATTATGTTCCAGATACTTACCAGCTGTGTGACCCTAGGCAAGTTATATAATCTCTCTGGGCCTCAGTTTCCTCATCAGTAAAACAGGAGGTTTAGTCTTTGTGGTTTTTAACCTCTCCTGTTCCTCTAAATCTATGATTATAATTTTGAGGGAGTACACACCGTTCACTACCCTCTCCCCACCCCCCACCATAAGACAGTAGTTCACATCACCTGCATTAATGGAGAGACATAGATGTTTTATTTTTTTTAATTATATTATGATCTCCTTGCTATTTTTGACTATCTTTATATCCCCAGCAATTAGCGCCTGGCACATAGTAGGTTCTTAATTAAAAACATATAGATTTGTTGCTGACAGATAAGGAACAGACAGAGTAATACATTAAAAGTCATAGGCTTCATATTTGGAAGGGTCCTGACCAATTGTCTACTCTGATCCTCTTGTGTTATGGTTGAAGGAGATGAGACACAAAGGAAGGGAAGTGACTTGCCCATGATCTCATAAATAATATGCAACAAGGTCGAATTTAAACCCAGGCCCTCTGACTCTTAATTTAGTGCTCTTTCTTTGATATTACACTGCCTTTCAAATGAAAAAGTCTTACAACTTGGAAAACCCAGAGGTCAACTAGTCCAACTCCTTCCTTCAGGTCCACAGCCCCCCGACCACAACACTATCCCTTAGCTCTCTCTTCATTCAACAATGTTCTCTCTAGTGATGCATCTCATAGTGAGTTTTCCCTTAATTCTGGTAGCATCTCAGTCTGCCCTTCACAATTTGTCTTGACTACCATCATGTCTCTTTCAGATAAGACAGAAATAATAAAACTGGGGCAACATTCTCTTCAGAAATATTTCTGGACTTGTCTCTGCAAGCCATAGGATTGAGAAAGATAGCTTCAGTAATGATTCATTTATAATGTTTCATGTTTAGGGAAAACATTTAGTTTTTTTTCCTTTTAAAAAATTATTGATTATATGTTGACATATTTATACATTTGTGTATTTTATATTATGCATTTATTTATATATTGATATTTATGTATAGGTATATATTTATTTCCAAACATATTTCCCCTTCTCCCTCACCCCTTGTAACAAAGAATAGAAAAAGAGACGAATTTCTAATTAATTACTAATTAACAACAAAATTAATTAATGTATAATTGCAAAGAATTCAGTTTTCGAGTTGTGAGGTTCTTTCCCGTATACATTCCTGTAATCATTGTATATTCCATTTCCTAATTCTGCTGACTTCGCTGTGCATCAATGTGCCAAATAAGCTTCCTCATGTTTCTCTGATTTCTTCGTAGTCAAGATTTCCCATGATGTAGAAATAATTCTGATCCATTTTCATCTCATACTTTGTTTCTCCGTTCCCCAGTTCATGGGTATATACTTTGTTTCCAGTTTCTTGCTATCATGAAAAGTAGTCGTACGAATATTTCAATGTATATGAGACCTTTCTGTCTTTTACATCCTTGGGATATATGCCTGGCAGTAGGATCTCAGTGAAACTTTAAGAGCTATATTCTTTAAAAAAAAGTGTTTTCCTGTGAGGCTACACTTTAGAGGCTACACTTCTCTTCCCAAATCTTCCACTCCAACCAAAGTGATCTAATCTCTCTTCCCAAAATGCCAAGGCAGGGAGTAGTAGAAAAAGTGCTGTACTTAGACTCAAACAACTGGGGTCTGAATCTGGCTCTGCTATTTACTGTGCAGCCTTGAGCAAACAAGTTAACCTCTCTGGGCCTCACTTTCTTCATCTGTAAAATGAGGGGCTTGGGCTAAATGACTTCTGAGAGCCCTTCCAGCTCCAAATCCTCTAAATCCTCTAATCCCTCTTTTCCTCTCTCCAAGCTTTTGGTCACTCTGCTCATTATTCCTGGAATGTCTCCCTCTCTTCACCTAGCAAATTACCACCCATCCTTTAAAACTAAACCAAACACTTACACCTCTTGACAAAGCCCTCCAACTTATTAGCACTGTGTTTTTAAAGTTCTGATGAGCATATCATGTACTATTGTGTATCAGAGTTTTCTGTGTTTGTGTCTTATCTCTTGCTATTGTTCTTCAGTTATCTCTTGTCATTAAATGTAAGTCATTCAAAAAATTCATTAATTCAATATGCATTTATTATTGTTGTTGTTCAGTAGTTTTTCAGTCATGTCCAACTCTTCATGACCCCATTTGGGGCTTTCTTGGCAAAGATACTGGAGCGGTTTGCCATTTCCTTCTCCAGCTCCAGGCCTGGTACTCTATCTACAGCACCAACTAGCTGCCCACGCATTCAGTGCCTACTATGTGCCAGGCACTTTGCTAAGCTCTGGGGCTGCAAAAAAAGGCAAAAGACAGTCCCTGCCCTCAAAGAGCTTACAATCTAGGTTCAATGAGGACAGAGACAATCTTATTTAGATTTGTATCTCTCCATTGCACCTAGCATAGTACTGTGGGACACAAGTGAACCCAACCCAATCAGCATTTATTAATTATGTCCTGTGAGTCAGACACTGCAGTAGGTAGTGGGGATACAGACAAGAATGAAGAGTCCTCGCCCTCTGCACTGGAGAAACAAGATGTACACAGACATGCAAATGCGAAATCAATATGTAACCACAGTTCAAATATTGTCAGTTATTTAAACTGTAACTACAAGTAGAAAGTAATTGGGGGAAGAAGGCATTAATAGTGAGGGGAAGCAGGCAAAGTCTCCTGAAGACATTGACGTGAGCTGAGTGTTGGAGGGAACCAAGGGATTCCAACAGGCAAAGGAGGGGAAGAAGAGTATTCCAGAGATTTGGACAATCTGTGCAAAGGTAACAAAGGTTGGAGTCAATGAACCAGTTGTACTTACTAAGCTTCCACTAGATGTCAGGCATTATGCTAAACTCTGAGGTTACAAAGGGAAGCAAACAACAGTCCCTAACCTCAAGGAGCTCACAATCAAATGGGGGAGACCACATACAAACAATTACGCACAAACAAGATAAATTCAGAATAACCTGGAAATAATCAACAGAATGCATTAAGGAATGCTAAGAAAAACTTGTTGCAGAAGGTGGGCCTTGAGCTGAAACTTGTGTTGTTCATCCTTTGTTCTGGAAGAGGACCAGTGACATCACAGGCGATGTTTATCACTTGCCAGTGAATTGGATTTAAGCGAAACAGAGCTGACTGGGAAAGACCTTGATTTAGAAAGGCCAAGGTCACCCATTGCATCCTTGACCATCACCAGCCTTCTTGACTTTTGTCTTGCCTCTGGACTTCCCTGACTCTGGAGGAGAGAGTGAGGTTGAGACTTGAAGGAATCCAAGGAAGTTGGGCTAGAATAGATGACTGTATTTGGGGAACAAGAAGATTAGATTGTAGAGTGAGGAAGAATAATATTAAATCAGCCTAAAAAAATAGATTAGAACCAGATCATGAAGGTCAGAGAGGTTGGTATTTTATCGTAGAGGCAACAGGGAGTCACTGAATCTTTTACATCTGGGAATGCCTTGGTGCTTGACAAATGTATGATCTGGGGCTGAATCATTTAATATCTTCCTACCTTACTGTCATCTTGTGTCAAATGGGAACAATATTAACTATTTCCTGAGGGTTTTGTGATTGTTCCTAACAGAAATATTCTGCATAAATTGTTTTGGATTGATGGATAGTAAGACACTATGTGAAAACCTCATTGGTAGCAATGTCTAGTCTTGGTATAAGGCCATCATGTGATGACTTCAGAATGGAAGTTATTAAAATTTGTGCCCAGAAGAGAACCAATTTGCTTCACTCACTCCATTTTTTAGGACTGATGTTCATGTTGGCTTTTTCATCATGAAAACCTGAGGCAGATGGGGAATGAAAACAAGGTGCTAGGTCAGTGGTTCTCAAAGTGTGGTCCAGTGACTCCAGGGGTCAAAACTATTATCATATTGGCTAAAATTATTGTTGTTCAGGCATTTCAGTGGTGTCTGACTCTGTGACCCCATTTGGGGTCTTGGCAAAGATATTGGAGAGGTTTGCCATTTCCTTCCTCCAGCTCTTTTTACAGATGAGAAACCGGCAAACCAGGTTAATAGACTTGCCCAAGGTCACATAGCTAGCAGATGTCTGAGGCCAGATTCCAAGTCAGGTCTTCCTGACTCCAGGCCCAGTGCTCTATCCACTGAGCCACTTAGCTGCCTGTATTAAAAGACTCCTCCATTTTTCAACTCCATATATGTGTGAGACCAGCTTTTCTTCATATACTTTAACCAAAACAATGTTACTACAGCAGATTGAATGCAGAAGCTGATAGGGGCATCCAGTTGTCTTCCATTAAGCCAGGCATTTGCAAAAATACATTAACTAATACTGCTCTTCTCATTCTTTTTGTTTGGAAAATGTAGATGTTTCTCATAGAATATGTTAATGTGTGATTGGTTTTTTCTTGCTATATTTGAATGAATTAACATATTTTAAATGATGTGTTTTAATTTCGAATACAGTAAATATCAATAGATATAACCCATGAAAACAAAAACACTTGGGGGGTTCTCAGTAATTTTTTTAAAGTGTAAAGGGATCCTGAGGCCAAAAAGTTTGAGAACCACTGTTCTAGGTTATAAAAGTTTAGCAAACAAGTACAGTTGTTAGAATTGATGTTTTATGTTAAATTTCTAATAAAATAGTGAGAGACAATAGATGGAAAGCTAGCCTGAAACCAGGAAGACTTGGATTTATGTCCCAGCTATGACATATACTGGCTATAAAAGATAAGACTGGTAAGTGAAAGGCCATCAGTCACAGAGCAGTCTGCCAAATTGGACTGTCTTTGTATGACTAGGCGGGGGAGAGAGCTCAGCAGCCCCCGTGACCATGACAGAGAAGATGGATCAGATTGTGCTTGCCTGCCCAAATGCACAGAGATGTCTCCAAGTAGAGTAAGGAGGCGGTAGGGCTATGGACAAAAAAAAGCATGGTCTGCAGCCAACATGTTGCAAGTCCTGTGGGATAAACCATGATTTTTGCCAATGCCTACTACTCCTTGTCTTTGTAAAAGGTGCTGGGAATTGGAGTCAGATGATGTGGGTCTGTATTCCAATTCTGGTACTTGTGGGCATGTCACTTCTCCCTCTTTGACCTCAGTTTCCTCATCTGTAAAATAAGGGGATTGGACCAGATGATTTCTTTTCTTTTCTTTTTTTTTGGCTAGGCAATGGGGTTAAGTGACTTGCCCAGGGTCACACAGCTAGTAAGTATCAAGTATCTGAGGTCAGATTTGAACTCAGGTCTTCCTGCCTCCAGGGCTGGAGCCTTATTCACTGCGCCACCTAGCTGCCCCTAGACCAAATGATTTCTAAGTCTCCTTCCAATGCTATATGCATGACCCTATACTTTTGTGATTCATAATGGGCTTGTGTTGGTCTCCTCAACTTTGGACCACAGCTTCCTTCCAACTCCCCTCTTGACCTTGGATTTGGTTACCTGGTGAACTCTGGTTCAACTTGGCAGGGCATGGCCTTCTGTTGACTCTCCTGGATCCTGATTTGGAACACACCCTCCTTCCCCAAGAGGTTCTTACCCTCAGGCCCTGTTGATTGACCTTAATAATAACCACACATTGGCACTGTTTCTCTGCCCCCCCACCTTTCAGGGAGCAAAGTTTCAATGTTTTCATGCCTAAACTGTCCTCCACCCCCTATTCTCTATGTAGTGTCTCTACTGGAAAATTCTCATCAACAGAAAGCAACTATTATATTGGAAATGGAAAAAAAAAAGTCTGATAGGGCTGAGGGTCAGACCAAACATAAGGACTGGCCCAGGGCCATGGGAGAGAGGAAAGGGATAAGGGTTTTTACAACTTGTCCTGGGGGTAAAATTTGCCCTGGTTGATATGTACTAAAGATAGCAGCCACTTTGAAAAGATGCCTCATGTGCTTCATGGAAGCCACAGAAACCAGGCTGTCGTGTTGTCATGGCCCAAGTGAGCTAAACTATTAGTCACTATCATAAGATCATATATTTAGAGTCAGAAGGGACCTTGCTATTTCCCAAGCTCTGTATCCCATCTCCCATACCTTTGTAAAAACCAGTTCTCCTAGGAGAAATAACACTGATTCCTCATATTCATTTTTTGGAATCCCTGGCTTCGTTCAAAGATCAGTTCATGGTCATTTCCTCCATGTTACCTTTTCTGATCCCTCTAGGAATTAGTGCTCTTTCCTTCCTTATCTGATTACATATATCCCTTTATTAGAATGTAAACCTGAGGAAATGGGCTATTTTTCATTTTTTCTTTGTGTTCTCAGCACCTAGCATAATGCCTTGTAAGTAGTAGACCCTTAATAGATGCTTATTGAGTGGGATAAAACTGGACTAAAATGGTAGCTATCAGTTATAGTAGCATAATAGAACTGAATAGCCTGAGATCTGTCCGTGTTTTCATTCAGATGCAAGGTTGTAGCTTCCTTGGTTAACCGACTGGGAACAATCAACTAATTATGAATCAATGACTTCTGTGGCTCAGGTGCAATAATAATTGTATTTGATAAGGTGCTTAGTCACAATCCAAAGATTATTCCAAAGGCCTAATTGCTGTAGAGATTGGCTTCCTGAGAAATCCCAGCTGCATCAACATTGAGCGAGCCATCTCAGTTATCCAGGACAAAATTTAATTGTACATTGTATCAGGCCAGGATCACAGCTTGAGGAATGGTGTCTTGTTATCTACCCTGGTTACATTTTAGCTAGAGTCATTCCATCAAAGGGAAAATAAGAGTTGGGGGAGGGTAGGATGTGAGTGTGTGTTTTCTTAACATTGATGATATAATGGAACAAGCTGTAAAATTCAAATAACTGGGTTCAAGTCAAAGCTCTGATATTAATTAGCTAAGTGACCTTGGGTAAGTCACTTCATCTGTCTATGTCTATTTTGTTCACCAAAAATGCTGAGGACATTGGGTTGAATGAGCTGCCAGTCTTATCTACCTCTGACAGATCAAAATATTTGTTCCTTATAGGATGATAGATTTAACTGGATTTAACTGGAGGGATCTAGTCCAACCTTTTCATTTTACAGGTAAGGAAACTGAGATTCGTCAATGTTACTCGACTTACTGAAGATCACAAGTAAGTGTCAAAGGTGAAATTTAAACTTAGGATCTCTGACTTTGGATTTTAGGTCCTTTCTAAATGTATCATGAGTCATCTCTAAAAATGCCTCGTTGGTGTTTTTAGGAATCAATTCCATGACATCTCTTTCCAATAAAATAAGAGGGGCTTTTGGAGACCCTATTTCAGTACCAGACTGCCAGTGTGTTCTCCAAGGTGGTATCTTCCTTGTTCTTTATCTCAAAGGCCCTAACTGGGATTTGATACACAAATGATAATTGATTATACAATTGATCAATATACTCAGATAAGCACTCTAAGCTGAATTCAGGGCGCATGGCATCCATCATCTGCCAACTTCCCAGGTAATGAGGTCTACAGAAGTAGAACAAAATGGCAGACCTGAGGGGCATAGGCACCAATTGTGTGCCCCATCTTGAACTCTGTGACCTCGAGCAAGACACCTTTCTTCTTGGAGCTTGCACTTTCTCACCTTCCAAAGGACTTATTTGGACTAGATGACCCCATCCCACCCCCCAAAATCTCTGCTCTCTCTCCTTTCCTGTCTCTGACTTCCTTGCTATACTAACACTTTCTAC